CTTTGCCCTTTGAATTATCTCTAAATATAATTCTTTCTTGGCCATCTACTTCTTCATCTAGTGAGGTGAACATACGAGGATCACTGGTCATATGTTGTGTGCAGCCACTATCAATTACCCAATGACTTCTACTAAACTTATAATTCACCTACACATAAGAGGTCAAGCTTTAGGGACCCAAACTTGTTGAGGGTCTTTGACTTTCTCAACAAGTGACTTTGTAACCTAAATTTTCTTAGGTCTATTCTTGTTGGGAGGTCCTAAGAACATGACTTTTATTTTACCACTAGAATCCTTTTAAGCATGTAATAAGCATTAAAAGCAAAGGGTCTAGCATGCTTGGGCAAGGGTTGAGGTGGTGGAGTTTGACACTTATGGGCAAAGTGGCCTTCTTGTCCACACTCAAAACACCTCTTTGGCTTTGGCTTTGACTTTTGTTGTTGTTGGTGTTGAGCTTGAGCCTTCTTCTCTTGATTTGCCAAATATCCAATTCCACTTCTATCCATCTTCATGACGGTGTTCATGAGTAACTCACTTTGAAGATGCTTGCCTCTTGTGAACTTGCTCAAGCCAATCTTAAGATGTTCTTTCTCTAACTTGAGCTTCTTGTTCTCTTCTTTTAGCTCATCATGATTTGTCTCCATCTTTAGTTCCTTGTTCTCTTCTTTGAGTTTCTCGTTCTCTTCCTTGAGCTCTACATCATAATCATGATCAAGGTTCTCTAACACAACAGTGTTGGTGGTTGATAGCTTCTCAAGATCTTTCTTTAGCTTCTCATTCTCATTCTTGACCTTGACATACTCATCATAATTATCGGACTCAACCACTTGCTTGCCTTTGCTACTAGAACCTTGCTCAATGCTGTCAATGATTAAATCATCACATGATGTAGCTATATCAATCTTAACAACATCGTTAGTAGCATTATGTGGCTTATTGGATAAAAACTCATGAGAGATAACAAGATTATCATGATTAACCTTGAGGTTTGTATATTCTTCTTTTAGCATGTTGTAGCTAGTGATGAGCTTTTTATGCATCCCCTCAAATTTATCATGTTTATCTTTAAGCTCTTTCTTAGAAGATTTGAGCTCCTTGAGTTTGAAAGACATAGCATCATTTGCTTCTCTAAGCTCAACACTAGCCTTTTCCGCTATGTCACATTTAGCTAAAAGAGAGTCATTCTTAATTTCAAGCTTTTCATTCTTAGCTTTTGACTTTCTAATGATCTTAGTGTATTGATTTAGCAATTTAACAAGATCATCATACGAAGGTGATTCAAATTCATCATCATCACTATCACCATCACTATCATCATTGTTAGCATGATCATCACCACTACTATCATCATCATTTGATACCTTTCGTTCATCCTTGGCCATAAGGCATAGGTGTGTGGAGGATGATGGCGGTGGTGTCGGTGAAGACGATGAAGAGTCAATCACAATAGCGGCCACCTTCTCGTTCTCACTATCATCATCGGATGAGCAACTTGATGAGTCAATGTCCGTGAGCCAATCACCGACGATGTATGCCTTCTCATTTTTCTTTTCTTGTGGAAGTCCTTCTTCTTGTCATCTTTCTTCTTGTATGGCTTGTTTTTCTTCTTCTCGTCATTATCTTCATCACTTGAATCATCTTTTTGCCCTTGTACTTCTTCTTGTACTTGTCTTTCTTGGGCTTGGTGCATTGATGTGCTAGATGACCAAGTTCTCCACAATTGTAGCAATCCATCTTGAGATTGGCTTCCTTCTTATGCTAGTGAAGAACTTCTTTTTCTTCCCATCAAACTTGACGCCATTTTTATTGAGCTTCTTTAGCATCTTGGCGGTTCTTCTCACCATGAGAGCAAGACTTGCATCATCAACTTCATCATCACTTGAGCTCTTATACTCAATTCTTACTTTGCCTTTCTCTTGGCTAGCCTTGAGTGCTAAGTCTTTGTCTTTTTTGTTGGTAAAGGATGAGCCATCTTGTGGTGTGATGTGCATGTACATCTCATGAACGTTGATCTTTCCCAAGATTTGAGTTGGTATAGCGGTGAAAAGATCACCTTGATGAAGCACGGTCACAATGTGCCCATTTTATCAATGGGAAGGGCACTCAAGATCTTTCTTACAACATCGAATGGTTGCATTTGTGTAAGTCCAAGCCCATTGACTTTCTCTACAAGAACATTCAAGCGTGAGTATATTTCATTAGCACTCTCTTTAGAAAACATCTCAAAAGAATTAAGCTTTTCATTACGAAATGATAGCGTTTCTCACGCTCGCTCTTAGTTCCTCATAGAGCGCACAAATATTCGACCATAGTGCATGGGCGCCTTTGTGGTTTCTCACCCGGTTAAACACATCTTTGCAAAGGCCTCTAAAGATGGTGTTTCTAGACTCTGCATTCTATTTTTGTAGTTCACTTCATCGCCTTGAAGGTGCGTGGGATCCCGAGGTTTTGGGAATCCTTGTGAGGCGGCTTTAAGTATTCCAACATATAGAGCTTCTAAATCGTCTCCATGTGGATTTTCTAATAAGAAAAATCATCTTCCTCAAAGATAGGAGGAGGACCATCCCGTGAGACATCTTTCTCTAGGCGGTTAAGCCTAAATACGTGAGCACGAGGCTCCGATACCAATTGAAAGGATCAAGATGCCTAAGAGGGGTGGGGTGAATTGGGCTAATTCTAAAATTCTTTCCAATAATTAAACCCTACACTTAGCCCACTTCACCCCTTGTGCATAGAATGTGTTTCTAATGTTCTACCAAGACAAAAGTTTTACAACCTAAGTTCCAATCCTACTCTAGCATGGCAATTCTATGAATGTAAAGATAAGAATTGAATTGCTCAAAGTAAATGCTTAAAGTAAAGAGAGAAGGAGGAACACGGCGATGTTTTGTCGAGGTATCGGAGAGTCGCCACTCCCCACTAGTCTTCGTTGGAGCACCCGTGCAAGGGTGTAGCTCCCTCTTGATCCGTGTAAGGATCAAATGCTCTCTACGGGTTGATTCTTCGACACTCCGTCATGGTGAATCACCCACAACCGCTCACAACTTGAGTTGGGTCATCCACAAGCTCCACCTGATGATCACCAAACTCCCAATCATCACCAAGCCGTCTAGGTGATGGCGATCACCAAGAGTAACAAGCAAGAACTCTCACTTAACCACAACAAAGCCTAATGAGAAGGGTGGATGCACACTTGCTACTCTCTTTTCACTAATGAGGCATCTCTCTTGGATTCTCAAATCTCAATCACCTCACTAGAACCTTGCTCTCCTTGGCACTCTCAAGGGTGTTTCTTAGCTGTTGAAATGAGCAAAAGTGATCCCTTGAGTGAATAGAGGAAGTATTTATAACCCCTCATTCGAAATAAACGGGTGACCGGACGCTCCGGTCAGTTCTCCCCGCCACTGAGCCATTAAGTTGTGATCGGACTCTGACCTGCGTCTGGTCAGCACTGACCGGACGCGTCCGATCACAAAAACTGCTCTCTGGAACCTTACTGATGTTGACCGGACTCTAGCACCCAGCGTCCGATCACTTTGCTTCTCAGCGTCCGGTCAGTAGCCGGAACCTGACCAGCGTCCGGTCAGCACTGACCGGACGCGTCCGATCAGGATTCTCTCTGTGGAACCTTACTGGAGTTGACCGGACTCTGGCACCCAGTGTTCGGTCACTCCTCTCTCAACGTCCGATCGCATCCAGACGACTTCACCTTGGTCAAATGAACTGACCGGACTCTGCGCCAGCGTCTGGTCACACTAGAACCAGCGTCCGGTCAACATTTGACCCTCTATTCACTTCCAACTCGCAATTATATATGAATGAAGTTTGCTCCAATTGATCTAAGGGATACTTAGGAGCTACCTAGTGCTAGATTTGATAAGTGTGCACCACACCTAACCCATGACTCTTCTAGGTCAAGCTACCCATCCATACCCCCCTTAATAGTACGACCAAAGGAAAAACAAAGTCCTAAACTACTCTAAATGTCTCTTCAACACCAAACGACACTTAGAACCAGTCCATCCTTAACCTTGTCGTCCATCCTTTAAAAACCGAAACGATTTCCATCGTAGGGGCATGACAACCATAATTGCCCAATCAATTGTCATTACCGTGACATAACTTAATTGCATCTACAAAACACACGTTAGTCACAGTAATCTCGTATTGTCATTAATCACCGAAACCCAACTAGGGGCCTAGATGCTTTCAAACTTAGATATTAAAAAACCCACTATATGAGAAGGTACAATCCTAGTAGATAGCAACACCAATTGAGTTGTCTCCCTTAAACAGTCTGTCTGATTGAACAATAAGTCTTGGACATCCTATCTGACCCATTCATAAAAGACCATCTCGCAGAGCATGTGCTTCAGCTGTTGTAGTAACATCAACATTTGGAATGCCACAACTTCTTGCCGCAATGAGCCCGGTTTTAAAATAGAGGAAGCTAAAGAACCAGTTTTCAGGGACTCGGACTTTGATGAATTTAGGAAGGTCAAATGATTTTCTTTTTCTAATTTGTTGAACATGAGTCATTTCAGCCCAATATGCCTGTTACATTCCCCAAGGCCTGCTTAACTAAACCAGCCCACGGCCTGCTTAATTGAATCGGGCCTAATCCCGCGACTCCGGGGAAAATATCTTCTCAGCACGCCCAGTCGCCCACCTGACTACCTGAGGCGTGCGACTTTGGTCCCGGTCTTCCTTCCGAAATCTCGTGCTGCGGCCGCCGCTACTATCGCACGCCAGCCAGCCAAGGCTCCAAAGTTCGCAGCGCATTCACCACCAGCTCCACTCCCTACTCCCGCTGATCTCACGCTCACCGCCTCGCCCCAGCCCGCCCCCCATCTGGCTATAACAGATTCACATCGCCCGCGTGATTGATGATAAAAATCCTCCTCCAAATCGGAGTCTAGCCCGTGCCCAAAACCCTAGCGACCGCCGGAGAGCTTGCCCGAACCGAGGCCGCCGGACGGGAAATTAGATCGCGGCTGGCGATGGAGAGCCCCGCGAAGGAAGAGGCCGGCGGGGAGCTGGCGATGGAGATCGAGTCGTCGGTCACGGCGGAGGACTGGCGCGGCGCGCTCTCCCGCGTTGTGCCATCCGTCGTCGTCCTCCGCACCACCGCGCCGCGCGCCTTTGACACCGAGGTCGCGGGCGCCAGCTACGCCACGGGGTTCGTCGTTGACAAGTCCCGCGGCATCATCCTCACTAACCGCCATGTCGTTAAGCCAGGTAGGAACGCCTCCAGCAATCATCACCGGTTCTCACGTATGCGACTTGTGAATGATTTGTGCTGTTGTTGTTGCCGCGATGCTCGCGATGACAGGGCCTGTGGTCGCGGAGGCCATGTTCGTGAACAGGAAGAGATCCCTGTGTACCCCTGTACAGAGATCCTGTGAGTGTATATTCATTCCACTTGATTCCATTCTCTGTTTTATTTTCCCTCCCAGTGCAAATGCCATAATGTTAACCGAAATTTCCCTCTCTTCTCTCGAAACAGGTACATGATTTTGGTTTTTTCGCTATGATCCAGGTGCCATTAAGTTTCTTAAATATGATGAGATTCCGCTGGCACCTGAAGCAGCATCAGTCGGGCTAGAAATCCGGGTTGTCGGAAATGACAGTGGGGAAAAGGTTCCCTGAATTCTATCTTAATCTCTGATGTTATGTACCCCTGTAAAGTATACTGCATAAAATGTCCTTGTTAGACACTACAGACCACACACCACAGCAGTTGTGTGCTTTTTGAATTGTTCTCCATCAAACCTTAGTGCCTTAGTTTTTCCTTTTTTCTGCACCGTGAAACAAATCTTCTGCTTTTGCAATATCCAGAACTTACGGAACTAAGGTTATACCTATCGTACACTCCATCAAAAACCTATTTAGTTAAATCTTAATTGACATAGGGGTGCAAATGGTAGGATACTTTCTGATCAACCGAAGCCTGATAGGGCAAATATGGATTATGACACCGATTTTCAGACACTATCAATGTCTGAATCCGATTCCAAGAAAATAATATGGGATACCATATGAGATGAGACTTGAGAGGTATCCATCCGAAGTATCAAATATTAGAAGTTGAGGTACTCTATTATGATTTCATTCAAGACTGACAATAAATAGGCATGTTATCACGTATAAATGGGAGTAAAAATAACGCGCTCTTAGTTTTCGTGATCTTGGCAATCACTTTCATTACGCTCACTCTAATTGCACCCTTATTGTTTAATATATTGTGCTATGTATGCTAGTGTAAATAGAGAGAATAATTTCCATCTGTCTGACCAATTGAAACCTCGGTGTCACTATCTCTTTCTCCGCCTATAAATCTGAGAAAAAAAAAAAATGATATGGGTGAAGAAGAAATTGTCCAATACTATCCATGCCCTACTAAGACAAACTATGGATAGAATATGATGAATATGGGATGAGCTATATCTGTACGCACCTGATCCAATTACACCCCTATTGCTATGTGTTGGCGTTTCAATCAAAGAATTAGGGTATTGGTATATGTACTTAAATTTATCTTACTAGTGCTTTGCAAAGAAGGGCGGGCCTCGTGCAAGCGGTAGAGTCTTACCGCTTTGTGGCCGAAGGTCCTGGGTTCAAGTCATGGTCTCCTCAAGCATTGCACAAAGTAGAGGTAAGGCTTGCCATCGACACCCTTCCTGTGCTCCGCACAGAGCGGGAGCTCTCTGCCTTTGGGTACGCCTTTTTAGTGCTTTGCAAACAATGACATGGCAGATCATGATTAAATGGTTTCCTTAATTTCCACTGCAATTAAAAGTTATGTTTGTAATGTTTTCTGACAAAAGTATAATTAAGTGTAACACCACTCAAGGAATTTTTGGTAAAGAGGAATATTCAGTAATAAATTTTTGTGAACTCTTTTATCAGGAAAAAAGATATACCTCATGCTCCTGTTTTTCCATGCTGGATTTAGCCATCTGTGATTACATGGTTCTGGGAGTTTGGCATGTGAGCAAAAGGGCAATGCATGTGCAGATTGACATGTTTAGAAATCAGTTAGATGAATGACATGTAGAGTTGTGAATACGCAATTGCTTTCCATTTTTTAATGCTAAGACAAGGCCTTTCAACCACGGAGTATGTGTTAGTTGTTATATTGGTTGGCCCTTCGTTGCTTATAAGTAACGAAATTCGGTTTGTCCAGGTTGGAAAAAATATTGGTTGGCCCAGAGGACGCTTTTTATTTGACAACTTGGCCTGCAAAAATAAAATCAGACTGCGCCTACAACTTTGCAAATTAAATATTTGTCATGACAAGCTGAAGAAGTGACTTGGAACAAATAGGTTTAAATTAGAATTCTGACATGTTTTTAGTGTAACATGCTGGTTGGATGTGCGCTTCTGATAGCACCATAAAGTTTTGCTTGAATGCATGTTTTAAGGCCTGGATATGGTTCATTCTTTACAAGGATGCGGATGAAGATCTAACCGCTGAAATTTGTCTGATAAATTGTGTTTTGTATTGCAATGTTTTCTTATTTGTGTTTACTGAATGCAGGTTTCAATTTTGGCAGGAACACTTGCTCGACTTGATAGAGAAGCACCATACTACAAGAAGTACACCTTCTTTTCTATCTTTACATGGCCTGCTCCTTCTGATAACTAGTTATTTAATCAGGGCATCCATTTACACACGGTACCTGTGCATACAAAAAGGAAACAACATAGACACAAAATTAACTCTCCCATTTGTAGTTGTGATTGTTTATACAAATTACACTCTAGTTGTAGTTCATCTCTATTTACTCTATGAAGCGAAGAGATGTGTTGAGAAAGAATTCAAATATATAATCTTACTCCTGTTATTTTACCATTATTTTTAAATTGTCAAACTGGATGCTGTAGGCTAGCTGTTTGAAGCTTAATGACATATTACATTATCTATATTGCTGTTGATATTTCCTTTTTGTTTTAATTTCTTGCCAGGGATGGATATAATGATTTCAATACATTCTATATGCAGGTAACTTTCTTTAGCTACTTGATGTTACATGTATCATTATCTAGTTCATATTGATATGCTGATAATGAGTTTGATCTTCTATTGACTTTATGGAATAGCAAATTGTTTTTCTTTTCATGTTGCTAGTGCCTGTACATCAATTAGATTATTTGTTTCTTTAGGCTGCATCTGGTACTAAAGGTGGCTCAAGTGGTTCACCTGTTGTTGATTGCCAAGGAAGGGCTGTTGCCCTGAATGCTGGAAGCAAATCTTCCAGTGCCTCTGCCTTCTTCCTTCCATTAGAACGTGTAAGTTTTTTATAAATGGGCATTAGTACATTCCCATGTTATGCTATAGCTTATATTAGAATTCCAAGATTGTTGATTTAAAATTGGAAGCTTGCAGTGCATAACATTTGAGTCTTAACTTTCAAGTTTGATTTGAAATGACATGACACAATGATACTAAGGAAAGAATCAGCTGCTTCTAATTTTACAAGGCTTTACAGAAGCAACCATACTAATCACCAAACTAGATTAACTCATTAGCAAATGTGCAGAGTTTTCATTAGCAATGCATTTTTTTTACTTTACATTGGGTGTTCTTCAAGGAAGATTAGAGTGGGAAGAACGTGTAGGAGTTCACATGTACTAAAATATAAGATCATAAAGATGGGCACACATCGTTACCTTTTAAGATTCATTAATTTTTTTGTGGTGCTGTTATTTATTTAAAAATATGTATAAACTATTTCCAGGTTGTCAGAGCACTGAATTTGATACGTGATAGTTGGGATGCATTTGGTACCAAGCCAGAATCTGTTTATATTCCACGTGGTACACTTCAGGTGAGTATATTATAGAGTGATTCCATTATTTTATCATATGGTGTCGCTTTTCTGTTATTGTTGTCGTGGAGAGCTTATTAATGAATAAATATTCATGCATTTAACCTTGCAGTACTTCAAATTATTTTTGACATGCTGCAAGTTCTCTTCAATTCTTCATTGTTGTTACTGCTACTTTTCTTTTACTGCTGTTATTTGGCTTCATAGCATCCTCTTTTTCTATTGCATTGGAAGGCTACCTTTCAACACAAAGGATTTGAAGAAACTCGGCGTCCTTGGCCTCCGGAATGAAACCGAGCAGGTATGTTCTTTCATTGTTTGTGGCTCACTAATTGACTTGGTAATTTGTGATTGTTTATCTTCTATAATAACTTTCTAAGCTTGTTTCTCCCTGGTATGATGGGGATGTTAGGATGTATTTTAAAATGTCGACCTCCATGCTCTAGGCTTAAGAACTACAACTTGCTTTCTGTACAGATGGTGCGTGTAGTTTCTCCAGCAGGCGAGACTGGAATGCTGGTTGTTGATTCAGTGGTAATTTCTGGTGCTTATGATTCTAAGCTTGTTTTTTTTTATCATACCACTTATCGTGCTACTTGTTGTATTATGCTATTCTGTAACTTGCTACTGCTGAAACTGGAAGGCTGTGTCCATGCAGGTACCTGAAGGCCCTATGCATAAACATTTGGAACCTGGTGATGTTCTAGTACGATCAATGAGGAGGTGAGAACTGCTTTTAATGGATATATATATTTGAAAACCACCATTTTTGTCTGCTAGTACTTGACATTATATTAATAAAATAACATAAATTCATGCCCAGTTTTCTTAGTGACTAGTTCGAACTGTTGAAGTCAATATAGTGGGCTATGTTCAGTATAACTCTATGCTATTGCTATGTGCCATCGGTTGAGGTAAAAAAATGTTTGCTAATGTGCAGAATGTCTAAAATGTTGCCAATGTTATTGTTATGCTAGCACAATCAGTGCTATATCATTGTACTGGGAATTCTATACTGAGGAAGGTTATTTTTTTTAAGTAAATAAAACTATAAAAGACATGCTTTCACTTTTTATGCACATGGGCCATAGTGTTGGGTCTGTACCATGTAAACCTGTATAACGTTCTAAAGAACCAAAGATGCTTGTTAGGATCGGTCAGATTCTACTGAGTTAATTAAATTATAAATTTCCTAGCGTTACTGCTCTAATCATTTGAAACCGGTCTATTGATTTCATCAGTACCAATGTTGAGCATACCATTTTCCGATACTCTGCGATATCGTTGATTTTACAATTTACTGTTGTATCTATCAGCTGTGAGAAGGGCGGGCCTGGTGCAAGCGGTAGAGTTTTACCGCCTGTGACCGGAAGGTCCCGGGTTCAAGTCGCGGTCTCCTCGCATTGCACAGGCGAGGGTAAGGCTTGCCACTGACACCCTTCCCCAGACCCCGCACAGAGCGGGAGCTCTCTGCACTGGGTACGCCCTTTATCTATCAGCTGTGAGTTCTCCTTTACACATACAGGAATAGCTGTGAGTTCTCCTTTACACATACAGGAATATCCTTGATCACTGATTGCCTGTTAACTACCGCCTCTCTTCTTTTTTGTTTGTTGTTTGAGACTTGTGCGTGGGTATTGAAAATGTAGAAACCTTTACTAAACCTATACCTGTTAAGTAGTTTGTTTTGTTAGCTACCCATGCTGGCCAATGAATAGAGGAGTCTAGTCTTGGAAAATTTAGCAAACAAAGTGAAATAGGAGCATGTAGCTATGTCTCTTACTGGAATCCCATTATGACAAACAAACAAAGACACTTTTCACAAGCTAAAATGACAACAAAAATATGTTTTCGTGCCAATTTGATTTTCCATAACACATATAATTTGGACTCAGGGATGGTGTTGTTTAACCATTTTAACTAATTGCAGGTTGTAACTCAGTTTCTTAGATTGGAGACTTTACTTGATGATAGTGTTGGCAGGGAAATTGATTTGCAGATAGAGAGGGGTGGAGTTCCTTTAACAGTAAAGCTGCAGGTATTTGGCAATTTTGACGTATCATATCTTGTCTTTTTTTATTGTAATATTATCTGTAGCACTCCTATTGCCTGATATAGACTGCCTTTACAACATGTCATGTTTTTGAACCCTTATTAATCTTTAACACCTTGGTCTTTCAGGTTGAGGATTTGCACTCTATAACTCCAAATCATTTCTTGGAAGTTAGTGGTGCTGTCATCCATCCACTGTCATATCAGCAGGTGAAGTTTCATAATATGGAATTGAACTTTCATATCTACTGCCCTTATTAAAAGAACTTGGTAATGTGGACAAGGGAATTTGTTCCCCTTGTTTTGAAATAGTCAGAGATTTTTTGGTTTATAGTTTATACAGTCTGAAATCATCACTATCTAAGTTAATCCAAAAGGTTAAGCAGAAACGTTTTCCAATATTTCTTATCGCTCTAGATGCTTGGAGAGTTGGAGGTGTCTACCAGAGGGAAATCACCGTTTGTTGCCATGTAGGATAGATAAGATCTAACTTTTTTAGTATCATGGCTTGATAAAGCATCAGTCCTGAACTTGTACTCATGCATGTACCGTTAGCTAGTAGATAACGGAACCATTTAAGTGCCTACAGGTGTTTGCTCGCATTACATGAGAGGTCAGAGCGATCTTATGTGGCGCTTGAGTACAATCTCTCCGAGAATTGATGATGGCACCTTGCATTGAACTGCCCTATAAACAGGTTGCACTTGAAGTATGAAAGTCATGAACTCTAGTGCTCTACCCACTAGCCACGATTTCATCTATAAATCCCTGTACATTACTAGAGTTGCTCTCACAACTATGGTCCTGTTTGGATGGGTGTATCCAAAATTCCAAACAGGCCCTTTATCTCATGCTACATAATTAAATACGATCAGTTAATGCTTACATCACCTTCTCATGCTTGAACTTAGATTGGCACATCAATGTCTACAGCTTTAGTATTTGTTGAACTTCCAAAATGCTGCTAATCATGCTTACATCTTGTTTCAGGCTAGAAACTTCCGATTCAAATGTGGTCTCGTATATGTTGCTGAAGCAGGGTAAGAGATTTAACTGTAACATAGCCTCTCATGTTCCATTTCCTGAAAGAATGACTACTTGTTTGCTTTCATTCTTGCAAACCTCTCATTTGTAGTATTGTAACAAATCCTTTGGGAAACATCCCTTTTCAATCTGGATCTTTAATACATCGCTAGTTTCTCAAACGCTTATTTGCTGCCCTTGCATTGCACTTAAACTAAAACTGCTCCCCCACACACACACACACACCTTACCGGCAACTGATCATAATCTTCCTATTGAGGTTTAACAGCACTAAATGCTCTTCTTGTTCTTTTTGGTCGTAGCATTATTTTCACACTCACAATTTCACCTTCAGTTTGTTATCGTGATATCTTCTCTAATGCATATGATTGGTACCATAGCAAACTGGTTATTTCTTTGACTTATTTAACACCATGCAATGCAGGTACATGCTCTCTCGGGCATCTGTTCCACGCCATGCCATTATTAAAAGCTTGCAGGAGAGGATATTGCACATTTAGATGACCTTATTGCAGTTCTTTCAAAATTGTCTAGGGGATCACGAGTGCCTCTAGAATATGTCAAATACACTGACCGTCACCCGAACAAAGTAAGATTTGAGTAGCTGATTTATCACAATAATCAATGCCTTATCTTTTGCACTTCCTAGTACAAATTTGAGTTTGGTTATGGTAAATAAACTAATCATTTTTACTTACGTGATCAGTCTGTACTGGTGACAATCGATCAACATGAATGGTATGGCGCCACCTCAGTTATATACTCGAAATGATGCAACTGGCTTGTGGACTGGAAAACCAGCTATATCACCGAATCTCCATTTTTGGCTCCAGCTCATCATGCTAATCATGTGGACACAAACTCAAACTCTGTTTCATCTTTATCTGAATCTAGTCCTATGGATCTCAAGTGCCAGTATGATTCTGAGAACCTGGCAGACGGATGCATCAAAATGCAAACTGATGATGAGATTGTTGTAGATGGATCTCACTCTAATGAAGATTCTCTTGTTGAGAAAAAAAAAGCGACGCGTGGATGAGGAGATAGCTGCTGAGGAACTTTACCATCTTATGGAGATCTAGAGGATGTAAAAGGTGGTTCTTTGAGGCATCCTTCCAATGCAGAAGGTTCTGAACTTGCTCGAACAATATCAAGTAATGCATCATTGGCAGAACAAGTAATTGAACCAGCCCTTGTAATGTTTGAGGTGAGCAATGTATACATAACATGCATTTTATAGTCAGGCACTGTCATTTAATACTTTTAGGGAGGCTAGGCTAGGGTACTAGATTATGTAATGCTACACGCCTGCACATATAGGCTAGAAGCTGCACAAGCTGTTCTGTGAGTTAAGTTTTGAGCAGTGCATGAAAAGCACAAAGGCAAACTTAGGCTAGACAAAACAAAACAAGCTTCATGTATTTAGGGCCTTGGATTGTGTGTTGGTAAGCAGCTTGCTGGCCAGGCAGCAATCTCAGCCCAGGCGACCTGGGAGCAAAACCAAGCCGCCCTTTAACCTTCCGTGGTATGCTGAGGTTTGAGTTATCCAAGATATATCCACAGTATGTTGATACTCTGTTTTGATGTATGGGCATATGAATAGGATTTACCGATTGAGGCTTAAATCTACTCTAACCTTAAGTTGTATTTGTAGCGATCGGTTTAAGCTTACTCACCTAGTTTTTCCTGACAAGTTCATCCTGAGGTTTCCAGAAGAAGATCAACCCCCAAAATAGGCACTGTACATTTACACTGGTGGCATGTTGTTTGTACTTTGGTTGAGGGAAAAGTTTGAGCTTATGGAAAAATGTGCTATTGTCATATTTCAATACGAAATTTTCAATAATGAACTGTGCTTATTTTTTGCTGTATGGACAACATTGGAGCCAAAATAAGAGCTTATTATATCAGTTCATTATCAATATATTCAGCTCATAATCAAATGAGCTGAATATATATTGATAATGAAAGGATGACATCTTCTGATTTCATGGAAGCCATATCTGTATGAAAAAGATTCACCACGAGTAAAATATCCTATTGTTTTCCTCTGGGTTGACTATTGGACTATTTTCTATATTATCTATTATCTATTTCCTTCACTCCAATTTCCAGTCCATCTGCTCTGGGGAGCAATTAATTTTGTACTTACCGTTAATTAATTGTTGAACCACCTTGAACCCTAAGCGACCTGTATTTATTAGTTTACGACTTTCGTGTTTCTTGCCCATAACCATCTGTCTTATCTTCTTTTCAGGTGCATGTGCCGCCTGTTTGCATGCTTGATGGAGTTCACTCTCAACATTTCTTTGGAACAGGGGTTATAATATATCATTCTGAACGTCTGGGTCTGGTTGCAGTTGATAGGAATACTGTTGCTGTATCTATCTCTGATATAATGCTTTCATTTGCTGCATATCCCATTGAAATACCTGGAGAGGTATGAGTTTTTCTGTTCTCAATTATAAAAGCTAAAGCACACAATTTTCAATTACTTATATATAATTTGCTTTCCAGGTTGTTTTCCTCCATCCTGTTCACAACTTTGCTCTGGTCGCTTATGATCCTTCTGCACTAGGAGCTGGAGCATCTGTTGTCCGGGCTGCTAAGCTTCTACCAGGTTTGTTTCTTTTACAGTGTCTCCATGTATTTCCAATATTATCTGAAGAGAAACAGGTTTTCGCTTCATTCCACTTTGATTGAGCTTTAATCATGTTATACCCTTAAACAGAGAGTGGGATAGTCACTGAACTTTTCATTTTGCAATCAGCATGCCTTACTTTATTGTACTAATGAGCTTGATCATATCATACCATTAAAAGAGTACATAGTCACTGAACTATTCATTTCAGTCGGCATGTCTTTCCACAATGTGGTCCATTTTACTTTTTTTTTTAAAAGAAACTTTGTTTCTGTGTAGAACCTGCTTTATGCATTTAGGAGATTCTGTCTATCTAGTTGGGCTTAGTAGAAGCTTACAGGCAACATCAAGGAAATCAATCATAACTAATCCTTGCACAGCTGTTAATATTGGGTCAGCTGATTGTCCTCGATACCGTCAGATAAATATGGAGGTCATTGAGCTCGATGCACGGCACTTCCTAAGGAAATTTCACTCCGATGGATCATGTTCTAATTTTTCGGGTTGACTATATTGGATTTTTTTTGTTTTAGATTTTGGTAGCACATTTTCGGGCATATTAACTGATGAGCAAGGAAGAGTTCAAGCATTATGGGCTAGCTTTTCTACCCAGGTTAGTTTGCACTGAGTTCTTTGCTTGCCCTGTTTCTCAAGTAATATTGCTGGCATGCTCCCAGGAACGCACACACAAAAGAATAAAGAAAAGAACAAAAGCATGACTTATGCGCAAGGTTAGCTATGTGATATTTCTAACATCAAGTAAATGTGTAATAACAGTAAACTTTGAACTGCTAGTAAAATAATCCAAACTGTTTGTGTTAACTAAACGAGATTGAATTTGTAGTGCACCAGCCACTTGCACTAATAACCTTTTACTATATGGATTTTACTAGTAATTAACAGCCATTACTGAGTCTTAGCCTAACGATACATCTTCTTGAATAGTTAAAGCTGGTCGTTTACTCACTTCTCTGTATGCTTAGTACTATTAACTAACTGGTGTATGACCCACTCTTTTTTTTTTTTCTCCAGCTGAAATATGGTTGCAGCAGCTCAGAGGACCATCAGTTTGTTAGAGGCATACCAATATATGCAATAAGCCAAGTACTTGAGAAGATTATCTCTGGAACTCAAGGACCTTTTAGGCTTATCAACGGAATAAAGAGGCCAGTGCCATTTGTCAGACTTTTGGAGGTGGAACTTTATCCAACTTTGTTATCCAAGGCAAGAAGTTACGGATTGAGTGATAACTGGGTGCAGGTAATCCGATCTGTTTTATTTTTATGTTCTAAATATTCTGTATTCTTTGTGATCTGCAAATATGTTTATACTGCTACCTAATATCTTATGAATATTTTAGAAGTTTTGCTCACAACAACTTTTCGAACTACTCAAGTAGTTATCAAATTTGGGTTATGGCCCCTTGTGCCCTGTGTTACCTGTAAGTACAGAAAATTTTGCTCACAGCAACTGTTGATAATCCATGTGATTACGCTTTCAGGCCCTTATGTAAGAAGGATCCTGTAAAGTGAGACAAGTCCCATGGGGTGAAAGGTTGTTTGGCTGGATCAAAGCAGAAAATCTTCTAGAGCAGGAGAGATATGATTCTTGCTATCAACAAGGAGCCAATTACATGCTTCCTTGACATTGAGAAGGCTTGCCAAGAGTTGGACCAATCCATTGGGTCAGATGGAGTGCTTAATGATGACAATATTCCGTCAGGTTAGGATGACGTGACAGAAATGAATAAAAGAAATTCAGCAGTATAGATTGTAACTCTTTAAACATTTGAGCAGGGAAAAAGAAATCGACCTTATTGTTGGAACTGATGTAAGAGATGGCAATGGTACAACCCGAATGGTTAATTGGTGTGGATGCATTATCCAGGATCCTCATTCAGCAGTGCGTGCACTTGGCTTTTTGCCAGAAGAAGGTCATGGTGTTTATGTTGCTAGGTGAGATTCCCTTACAAAGTTGTGTATGCAATATTAAAACATCTTTAATCAGTGATGATAAACATTTCTTCAACTTAACATTTCAATCTGCAAGTGTTTATCTACTAAAGAGTTGGATCTGCCAAATTTATTCTGGCCACTGCTTGTATCTGACATTAGAATCAGATGAAAACTGGTTGCTGAATGCTCATTGAGTCCAGCATGTAGGGGCTGTAGTTCTCTCAAGTAACAGATAGCTTAAAGAAGGACGGAGAGAAGAGCTTAAGAATGAATGCCATGTTAGCGCACTAAACGAGTCTATTTATCATTTGGATAGAAAATAGAGGGATGTCATCTGTTTTCTCATTTAGGTGATAGAGCTTGAAAAGCAACCAGAATAATGGATAATATTAGTCCGCTTTCCCATTTGTTTGTATACTTCATGTTGTTTGTTTCTGCATGTGGTTAGGTGGACATAATCTATTATTTACACGATTGTATAGTTGATTCTGAACGATAACTCATTTCGATATGTCTGGGAATGAGCACTAAGCAACAATGATTTTATGCAGATGGTGTCATGGAAGTCCGGTGACATAGATATGGCCTCTATGCTCTCCAGTGGATCATCGAAGTTAATGGGCAACCAACAACGGATCTGGAAACCTTTATACAGGTGGTGAAGGTATGTACTATGCATCAAGTGGCAAATGCACCCTTTGT